AACATGGAATTGATTTTCCGTTAATACATCCAAATTGAATTTGTTTAAGAAAATCATCAATTGATATAATACAATCTGATGCATCAATTTTACGAATAAAATAACATAAATTATAAATAGTATTAATTGAAGTAGCAGTAGATGGAATTGAATGAACAAGTTGTAAAGATGAAGTATGTTGATCAACATAAACAATAAGAACACGTTGTTGATTTGAAGAAAGATATTTTTCTAGAGTAGTTAATAGATCATCTGTCCACATTTCATCTCTTAATTCTTGCAATATGATTAATTTTCGAACATAATCAAGCTAGAAAATTCAAAAGCAAACAAAAATTGTTAATCAAAGTTGAAAAATAATTTCATACAAGTGAAACGTCGATGGTTGTTTTCGATATATTCAATAGATAAGTTCTTTTATCTTTTATATTGTTATAGTCTGTCTCGATCATCATTCTTTTCTCTAAGCGATCAATAGAAACTTAATTAACAAGAATAAAACCTTGTCAAAAGTTCTCTAGAAAACTAGTTTGAGCGCAGACATAATTTGATGTATTTTATTGTAATTTGGTCTTTTTCCAATGTAATATAAAACTCCGAACAAAATTTCCTTGACAATATTTTCAAAAAATAGAACAATATATTTTATTCAAATATTTTTTTTGTAAAGTAGCGACATCTATTGTAGATTTACTTCCTTTTTTAAAGAATATTATTTTTTTAATATCCTTCTGAATTATTATAAATTTCAGATAATCACTTTTTTCCAAATTCGATACATAAAAACAAATCTTTCTCATTTCATGCGTCATATAGCAATTAATAGCATTGCATCATGCTTCTTGTTACTCATGGAAAAAACATAATTATGTTTCAAATATATTTCATCAGCATTCGTTTTTTTTGACACATTCACAAATAATGACTTTTTGAAACAGTTGCGACCTTCTTAGGCGCCTCAGCTACGGCTAGCGAGCACGAACTTTAACGTGCCCTTTTTTAAAGTAAGTTAAAACAATTCTTCTTTAGAGTACTGAACTCAACTCTATCATTAATAGAATATATCTGAAATAAGATATCATGACACACTTATAGTAAGAACATATCCAATCATCTATATGAGACAAATATTTTATGAAATGGTACTAAAGAGCTTTGCTCATTGTCATTACGGAGTTTTTATTCAGCAGTAAAGAAATGACAATACTCTGAATCGAGCTTGACCCTTGCCCTCTTCCGGAATGTAAATTTATCCTTCTCAAAAAGAAATTCCTAATCAAGTACAGGCCAACAAACAGCTTCAAAGAATTGGCTCATTATTCTTTTGAATAATTTTTCATCGAGTTCGAACCGTTGATCTTATTTTAATCGCAAATACTAGAATCAATGATTTCTTTTCTTATTTAGCTTTAATCATGCAAATCAAAATGGCTTTTGCCACTATTATTTCCGCATTATCGGTCTCATATATACACGAACAAAATGCATTTTCAAAACAATCAAGTTGGAGAACTTTTGACACCAACCATCAACGATGGTGATGTCAATAGTATCACTCCTATAAATCCAATATTACCATCAAATGATTTATTTTCATTTGATGATAATGATATTTGTTTTTCTTCAGTTCTATCAAAGAAAAATGAATATGAATTGCCAACAAAAGACAATATGAATGAAAATAGTGATAATAATGAACAACAACAATATGATTTATTTTCAACATTTGAATTTCCTGTTTTAAATGAACTTGATAAAACAGGTAAAACAAAAAGAAAATTTATGATTTTGTTCAAGACTAATTTTTATTTTTTATTAGAACTACCAATGGATTTTTTACAATTTGATAAATACATCAGTCAGTCATCAATTCCATCTCCTGAAGCGGATGTTCTTAATTCATCAATATCTGATGATTCAGCTTTTCCATGGATTGGAGAAGAATGTACAGTTGAATCTGAAAAAACAGATGATATGACTGTACCATCATCACCATCAATGTCATCAGAAATTTTATCACCTAGAATCTCAAGAAAAAAATCAACAAAAAAAACAAGTTTATCAGCATTGGAACGTAAATTAAGAAAAAAAGATCAAAATAAAACAGCAGCTGAAAAATATCGTAAAAAGAAACAGACAGAACGAACTGAATTGATGACTCGATATTTAAGTTTGAAAAATCAAAATCAAGAATTGAAGTTTGAGTTGGAAAATTTAACATTTCGCCTTGACAACTTCAAACAATTATTTGTTGATGTACTTCATATACAAATTCCATCAAATGAATCAACTTAACAGTTTTTGAATATAACTATTTCTTGAATCATTATTACTATTGTCATGTTTTCTTTTTATTTTATTGTCGTTCGTATATTTTGTCCTTTTTTTTTATTTTCTATCTTTTTTCTGTAGCATATTAATCTAATTAATATATGCGTTCATTTACAAAATTTTTATTTAATCAATAAATTATCTTTACCCATAATCAAATAACCATATTAAATAAATCGATTCTTGAATTATTTTTCAAACTATACTTTATTATGTGCTGTAGTGCAAATAAAAACTTCCAAAAATGATCAGATAAATAAATCAATCGCACATGATATGATGATGATGCTGAAAACTAGCTTTTGATCATTAAATGCATTCATACGAGAGTAATGTTAAAGTGTTTAGAGTGTTGGCATAGACGGTGAAATACCTTTAATCTAGAATAGGCTCCAATGTTTTTCCAAAACATGATGAAAGGCGATATAAAAACCAGACAAACTTCTATTTTTGTAATTCTCACTCTACTGAAAACATATTTCTGCACATCAGTTTTTTTCAAAAATTAGAAGATAATAAAAAATTTTACTGCAGTATTAACATTGCTAGTATATGGGTAGCGTGTACATAAAAAGCTTTAGCCTAATCTTAAGTGAATAGAACAAGCAGAGCTAAACAACGCTATTCAGGACCACAAAAAAGCTATTCTAGCGTGGCTTTTGGAAATAAAATCAGAGCAGATATTGTTCAAGTCTAATTTATTGAATTTTTCTACGTGAATATGAGGAATAAGGACATACTTGATCGTAGATATATATTTATTCGATTGATAACACTAAAAGATTTTTCAGCTTTAGCTGCTGTTTTGGAAACTGTTACATATAAACGTATTAGTGTACTAAATTCACTGAACATAGTTTTGTCAAAACACCGTACATTGCATATCAGTCGATACAAAATAAATAATGGTTTTTCAAGAAGTTGATCGACAGCAACAAAGTTATTAGTAACTCGGTAAATTGAAGGTTAATAAGTTAACAATAGCTTGGTTACTGAAAGTTATTTATTTCTCGACAGCTTTGACCTACTTATTCACTAGCTATCAGATAACTTTTAAGATACCTAGTTAATTTTAATCAAATAACTTTGAAAAGAAATTTGTTTGAACTTGACCTTAGAAGCAATTTGGAAGCAAGTTACTTAGGTTAATACTAACTTAAGCGTTGCTCAGTTACCAGCAAACAAGTAAATTCGAAGCCGTCCAATTAATAGTAAAGTAAAGATATGATATTGCCCATATTCTATATTGTTGCTAAGAAACTGAATTCCTTTGATACACTAGAAAAACTACAAAACACGGACATAGTATTTAAAGTTTTTCATAATTATAATGCATTTTGTAAATCGATATAATATTCTGGATTAGCATGGTGAACTACATCAAATACTATTGGCTTTATTACAAAGCAAGGGGGGAAAAGCGGATCCTGGATCCTGATGAATTGTAGAATAAATTATTTCAAATGTACAAAAGCGAGGGTGGAAAAAGCTGATACTAATGGTTATCAGGATTCATTAAGGTCCGAAGAAACTAAGTGGAAAAAGGGGAAAGTAACTTCAGAATTTTGTGACTAAGAAGAAAAAAAGATCCAGGCCACTGAGATGCTTATATCTCGGTAACTTTTGGCATATCTTGATGAATTTTGCGCGCTGTTGTATTCATCAAGATGTACGTTTCCTGTATCGATTTGATATTCCCTCGACTGTAGGGAGGGTCATGTGAAAAAAAAAGTTTGTGGCCGCCCTTGTAACAAAGGTCAAAAAAACATATGTGAGAGGTTAGCTTATTTTACGACTTTTCCACGTTTTGATGGAACTTTGCTGTAGGTTATCGAGGGCCCAGAATCCAAATCCGAACTAGTTCTTTTTGACCGAGCTTTCATTGGTCTGGAACCGGCCAATCAGAAACGAGCTTTTATATTGTAAGACTTTTCGACGTTTTGATGGAACTTTGCTGTAGGTTATCGAGGGCCCAGAATCTGAATCCGAAGTCGTTTTTCTGGCCGAGCTTTCATTGATCGGGAACCGGCCAGTGAGAAACGAGCTTTTATATTTTAAGACTTTTCGACGTTTTGATGGGTGTGGGGTGTGGGTGGGTGTGGGTGTGAGTGTGGGTGTAGCCGTGGGTGTGGATATCTTCTCATCACCCACACCCTCACCCACCCACACCCACACCCACCCACACACACCGACACCCCACCCACCCACACCACCCACACCCACACCCCTCCACACCCACACCCACACCCAAACAACGTGTGCATAGGTCATGACGAAAAAAATTTTTAAATTGGAGTCACCACAAGTTATTTTGTCGATTGGAGAAGCGACATGATATGCGATTGTCGCATTAAGTTAACTCGTCTCAAAAAGATGAGTTAACTCTGTTTTAGCGTTTTACGCAATCTCATTGGTTAACTTTGTTTTATTTTTTTCAGTGTGTTCGGGGCCTTACTTATCAAAGCTGTACTTTTTCTTCGTTTTTTTCGGCAGGGACATCCATTCATTTTATTGAACGGCGTCAATGAACAACAAAGAAACAATGAATACATATATATAAACGCATCTAAAGCATTACGTCAATCAAAATTAGAATGTGTGAGTCAAGCGTTACCCTGTTTGATTTACCTAATGAAATGTTACTTCTTATTCTGAAGAAGCTTAACAATATGGATGTTCTCTATTCATTATTTGGTATTGATAATCAACGACTTGATGCTATAATACAAAGCAAAGCTTTCATTAAGACTCTCAATTTTGTATTAACAACGACAAGTAATGATGTTTTGCCGATTGCTGATTCGATAGTTAATCGATACTGCATTGATATCTTGCCTAAAATAAATTACAATGTTAGATCCCTTATTCTTGAATCAGAGTCTATGGAACGTATTCTACTCGCTGCTGGTTTTCCTAATTTAACTGAACTTAAACTGTATAATGTTGACGATTATATTGTTTCACATTATTTTACAGGTAAGCAATTTCCGTATTCAAGTAAAGAAAAAGATTTCATTGAAAACAGTATAAATATTGCACAATATTTGATTGTTCTTTATTTAGTCGAATCACCATTTCGACGTATTTTTCAACCACAAATAACAGATCTTATTCTTGTATACAAGAACGATATTAACATATTATTAATGAATAAAAATGCAAAATTTGTGTACGAATATACTTTCAAACTGTTTGAAAATCTGAAACACTTATCTGTTATCGGATTACCGCCAATTTTCTCGGTTAATTATATATCTTTGGCTACTTGTTTCTCTTCAAATCTTTACAAATTATGTCTTCATATCAATACTTTTGAAGATTGTTTTGCTTTACTTGATGGTCGTCTCAAACATCTGTCTATGTTGATTGTTAATATAAATAGTACAGAATATCATCCATCAGTTGTTTACAATATTGTAAGTTTATATACGATTAGATAGATTTTATCAAGTTAAAGTATTTCGATTTATATTATCGTATTTTTTTCTAATGGATAACAATATATTAAGAAATACTGGTTTGTACTTTTTAGGATATGCTGCCTAATATGAAATATTTCTCGTTAACCTGTCGTTGTTCCAATGATGAATATGATACTCATGTTGTACCTCTTCTTCGTCGTATGTTTAATCTTGAAGAATTAAATTTGAATATTATTAATGAGAAACGAAGTTCATTTGTCGATGGCACTCAAATTAACGAAAAAATTCTTATTCATATGCCACCACTTTCTAAATTTACATTTTATATTAGTACCAAAACTAAACGAAAGCATATGGTTCATCACTTATCGAACCACGATATTGAACAAACTTTTTTTAACATAGGATATGAACAAGTATGCTGTTTTCTAACTCGAATTACCACTAGTGCTATATGCAATATTTTTTCATTACCGTTTGTATTTGATTATCTTGAATATGTTGGAAATACTTTGCCATCAATGACTTTTAGTCGTGTTACTAAATTGATGGTGCATGATATACTTCCATTTTCGCATGAATTTTTCATAGGAATTGCTCGCTTTTTCCCATTACTTAAAACAATGCGTGTTCTTAATATTCATCCACAGTTACAGATGTCACACAAATTGAATTCGAATGATAATCAATTGCATTCAATTGTTGAATATCCTTTCCTTATATCGCTTTCTCTCTTCTATACTCATATTGATTATGTCGAACAGTTTCTCAATAAAACAAAAACACATTTACCTCGTTTTACTGAATTAACAGTCGATTATGATCAATTAAGAATTGTTACAGAAAACTTCACAAGAGATACAACACGTCTTAATTGTGTTAATGTGAAAAAATTAATTTTTGAAAAGTCAATTGTACATTCAAAAGATTTTTATACTTATTTTCCTTTGTTGTAAGTTTGTTTTTGTTCTGATGAAGTTAATAAAAGAAATAGTTCTTTTTTTGTTTTTATTAATGCTCTTTTATTGTTATATAATGGTTAGGTATTAGAATTTAAAAAAATAATTTAATGCTTTTCTAGTATTATTAAATTAACATTAATTAATACACAATATATATATATATGTTAGCACTATTAATGTAATATAATGCCAAGATTAATGCTAAGTCGACACCTTTATAAGTAAGAAAATTTGATATTGTTGTTCACTTGTCAGTTCTGCAACTAATATAATATTTTAATATACGATTTGTTGTTTGTTAGTGTTGATTTTGAATCTATCATATAGCAAACACAAAAATAAAAACGCTTGCTTTCTTTCGGTTCATATATAATTCAATAAAATTTAACCTACTCCATTATATTATATATATAATTTGTGAAACATGTCAAATTCAACAATAAATATATGTTTAAAGTTCTTTTTTTTCGTCTGTATATGTTGTAGAGAGAATTGGAATCCAGTCAAATTTAGAATTAGCCTAGTCAGAATTGGAATATCACTACAAAAAAATATAAAAATTCCAATATTGACTAGACAAATTCTAAATTTGACTGGATTCGAATTCTGTCTAATAACATATATTTAATAATCGTAATAAAATAAAATAATATGAAAAATATTTACTTGAATAATTAAAGTAAATTGATGTTATTTTTATAAAATATTATATTATTATGTGTAGAATAAATTATTTTCATGTGAATTTGCATCATTAATCATTATAATGCGTAAAATTAATATAAACTGGCATGTGATTAAATATATTTACTGAGTCAACCAGCCAGGTCATTCTTTTAAAATCATAAGAGAGATATGTCACATGTATGAAAAGGTAAACTTACTGATCTTAGTAAATATATTGCGCATATTAAAAAATTGACATACGCAAATGAAATGAGCATTTTTTTTCATAGTTTAATAAGTATGTGTTTTGAATACTTATATTAAACAATTATTTTCATTCATATTTGAATCTTTACTGAATTCGCATAATGATTCTCTTTGTTTTAAAATATTTTTAATGATTATTATTATTATTACACTATTTTCTATAATGTATGGTGTGATTAGATAATATGTCGTAGCAATCACGCGTATGAGGACCTGGCAAGGGGAAAATAACGATTTATGATTTTGTGATTTAAAACGAGTTTAAATGATTTAGAAAGAGTTCTTGTAGTTTAAAATAATAAAAAGAATTTTCATCAGTGAATAAACATTTGAAGTTATTTACCCTTGTTAGGTATGGGTCGAAGAACAGATAAAATTCAAAATGGTTTTATTCCCAGGTCGATCATTCCGATTATCGGATCCTGCAGGGATCCGTGAAACAGAATCATGTCGGAATCCGACGAATCTTTTCGGATCCTACAGTCACAATTGCATAGGATTTGATAGGATTCCGACATCCGAAAAAACTCTGAAAATTAATGTTGTAGTTTATGACTTATTAAATGAATGCTAGTTAAATGAGCAGTCGGAAATAGTACCGTCGGATTCGTTAATGATTTCGTCTCACGGAATCCGATATGGATTTTGTCGGGCGATCAGATCTTATAAGATCCGATCGTATTGGTTATCAGATTGATGCATCTGGGGTGGACTAAACTTAAAATCACCTGAAATCATCGGAAATCATTTGAAATGACGAAATCACAAAGTCAGGTTGTTCACCTTTGACTTTACCCCATAATAAATGCTTAACATTAAGCTTTTGACTTTCAAACAACTTAGAAGCTGATTGCACTTCTATTTTCTGTCGAAAGAGCAAGAAGGAACAAACTGACTTTGTAATTTCGTGATTTCAGATGATTTTGATTTTAATAGCCGTTTAAAATCAATCGGAAGTCACTTGAAATCATCAGAAATCATTTGATTTTATTTTAAATCACATAAAATCAGTCGGAATTATCTGAAATATCTCAGAAATTTCAAATGGTTTCAATAAATTGCAATTAAAATCTGTTTATTTCTCCTTTGGTGGGTGTGGCTGTGGGTGTGAATCTTCGATTTCTCTATACCCACACCCCACACCCACACCCACACCCACACTCGCTTAACCCTCGACTGAATTCAATCTTGTTATCATCTGTTATCGTTTTCTAAGTTCTGCTGTAACAATTATTGTGCAACACGTGCACATACGAAAATCTGTCTATAGCATTGTCAGTGATGACCATTTTGTAAAATATTCGGACCTTTCTATTTTCCATTCTGAACTTCTAAGATTTACTTAAGCAAACAGCTCGCAGTCGATTGTCACGATTGAACTAAACCCATCTCGCAATTCCCTCAGATCGTAGTCCGACGATGTTTCTGTTTCCTCTCAAATTTTCACTTTTGTCTACGACTATTTATATTTCCGAATCCTACTTACAAGAGCTAGATGTCGAAAACAACTGACCATCGATCTTTTGGTCTATGCGTTTTTGACCCTGCCACATACAAACTTATTTTATTTCATATGACCCTCTCTTCAATCGAGGGAACAGGACAGATCAATTGATGGAATCTAAGACTCTGGAACTAGCCAGGCTATTATGTTTTTACCACATTACACTTCTTTCAGTAGAGGGCTTAGCGACCGAAAAGTCCCGTTACTTGTTTCGATAGGTATCATAGTAATTATCTTAGCAATTACATAAGAAATCATCAACTCTATTTGAAGCAAATTCTTATACGGGCTTTCATTATAGATTAGAAAATTGTTTTCTGTTTAGTTCTCGGTTCCATTTTCTAGGAAACACGAAGCTCTAGTCATATGTCTCGTTTCTTGAAGTGCTGTATTTGCTATAAGAAAACGAGGGAACGATGTTTCTTTCATAGTTCCAGAAAATACAGCTTCCATCCGCATGATATTCAGACAAACACTGAGACTTCAGCATTTCAAGATACTTCACCTCTTCGATTCCGTCTTTTCTTGCCTACCCCATAAAGCTGAAGAAAATTTCGACTTCTCTCACTTACGTCCTCCTTCACATTATCAATTGTACGTGAATTTTAAATTATTTCGATCAGCGCAAACAAGCTCGCCTCTAATTGGCCCCTTCCTGACCAATGAAAGCTCGACCAAAAAAAGTGACTTCGTATTCGTATAGCGGGCTATCGACAACCTACGGCAAAGTTCGATCAGAAGCTCCAAAAGCCTAAAAGAAGAAAGCTCGCCTCTAATTAACCCCTTCCCGACCAATGAAAGCTCGGCCAAAAAAAGCGACTTCGTATTCGAATGTCGGACCCTCGATAACCTATAGCAAAGTTCGATCAAACCGGCCAAAAGTCTTAAAATAAGAAAGTTCGTTTCTGATTGGCTGGCTAGCGACCAATCAAACCTCGGCCAAAGAAATGGGCTTCGGATTCGGATTCAGAGCCCTCAATAACCTATAGCAAAGTTCCATCAAAACGGTCAAAAGTCTTAAAATAAGCTAACCTCTCATGAATGTTTTTTTGACCCCAATCAATCAAGCAAACAAACGCATTTTATTTCGTATGACCCTCTCTTCAGTCGAGGGAACAAAGTTATGAAAATATAAGTAGAGTACATAAGGATCAACCATTACGATAGGTAACAACTTGCATCAATTACCCATTCTCGCAATTTTTTTTAACCTTCGCTTCCGGTCTACGAACGGCAACCTTACCAAACGAATCTCTGTGGAAAATCTGAATAGCACAAGCTTTTCTAAATATTAGTAATATTCTTACGATTTTGTGTAATCCCTTCGCGGTGGGGTTATTTTTAGTACGATATAAGAACGTGTCTAATGTAAAAGTACCTCTTACAACACTTGCTAAAAAAAGCTTGAGCGTCTGGAAATTAAACTAGTCTTTTCTATTGCTGGAAGTCGTAGCAGCTAATGGGCTTCACCGTTTATAATATAGTTTTTATTAGAAGTATTGCAACATAGGATAGGTCTCGAAATAGGGCGCTACGTATACTGCAACATAGCATTTCCTGCATTCATTGCTCGTTTTTGTTTCCTAATTTGAACAGCGGGTCGTGTGGCTGCAGACGAGGCAAAGTCTTTGGCCATCTATGAAGCTTTCCACTTATGTAGTCATGCGCATAAGTGTCTCTGTTGATTATCTTCTAGGAGGATCTGATTTACGAACGCCGAATTCGTCCAGAAGCTAACGAACTACTTTCGGTCTATAGTCAGAAAGAGCAAAATTTTCTTTCATTTGTCGTTTGTATAGTACACAAGCAATTAAGAGCAAGACGTTGAGTAAATGAAAACATAAAACTGAACTTTGAATACGATTTGATACGTTTTATCAGAAAGAAAATGTTACCGGCCCATATATGGGGCATCTGCTGCGAACAGATTAATTCACTTTTCGAATAAAAGTTGTTAAACGGCTATGTTCTTCACTCGAAAAGATTAAATAAACGTTCACATGGAATTTGAATATGAGTTAAGACTGTGTCTCGATACCTTAGTTGATTAAAGTGTCTGACTAATTATCACTCGTGGATACTATCTGAGTTCGAATCCCAATCGGAACTCATTTTCTTTTCTTTGTGTTCGTTCTTTTCGAGTGAAGAACATAGCTGTTTAACATTTATTATTCGAATAATGAGTAATATTCTCAATTTGAAGTTCGAATCAAAATCAGCATGAACTCATTATCGGCCATTATCAATGTATTATTATTTACTCTTCGAAAACCAATAGAGATACTCGAATTCGGGTTGTCCATATATATATATCATTGGACACTTGAGAAATTTGCTCATGAAAAAAAATCTGTCAAATGTCGTTGATCTTCACTCGTTCTAATTTTGAACTCAACGAGAACGAAACTGAATTCGTAAGACGACTCAATAATTGAGAAGTCTCCCTAGTCGAACATCTTGTAAGCAAGATCTTGAAATCTTGGGATCGGTAAGCAAGATCTTATCAAGATCTTGAAAAGATAATTTGTATGTACATATCTTGGTTGTATCAGATAAA